ATCAGTAACAAGAACGTCGAATCTGAATCACTTGAAAAAAACACGGGGGTGCTTAACTTTTTTCCAGGTGTATATATTAAAATTGTAATGGACAAAAAAGAGTTTTTGAATCACATATAATATTCTTGTTATGAAAAGCTTTCAGTGATGATACTTAAGACTTGAGATTAATAAAATTATACATCATACACCTCATTAAAAAGCCAAGTGTAATTTAATCTATAAATATAATTTTGTTTATTTTTTTTAATAGATTAATAATACTGTTACATATAATCATCTTCAGTTTATTCTATATTGTATCCAACGTAACTATCAATTTATTAATATTTTTTCTTTTTAATATTGATTGAGTTAAGTTTTTTTTTCTCTCAGCTGAAATTGCAAGAAGTTTAAGTACCTAAACACTGATTGAGAAACGTTGTATTCATGTAAATTTAGTGCAAGTGAAAGAGGAAATAATATTATTGACAGACTGATAATTTTAGTTTATTAACATTCACTACATTTTATAAGAATAAAAATATCTTGTAATCACATTGATATATTTGTATGCATTTTTGAAGGTTTGGAAATAAATGAAGAAAACAAAGAAGAAGAAGACAGTGATGGTAGTTGGATTGATGTATGCCATTCTTCAGATGAAGAAGGTCTTGATGTAAGATGTTCATAAATGTTTCTAACTTGTAGTTCGCAGTCTGTACTATAGAATTTGAAGTGATAGTTCTAAGTCTAAAGGATGAAGAATCATAAATTAAGTTTGGATCTTGGGTTTAATGAGGTTGAATCATATTTATAATAAAAGTAAATATTCATTAGAGAGATCATCATACTCTTTGAGTGTATTTTGCTTGAATAAGACATACACCATCTATTACTACATTAAGCTTTTACAAAACCCATAAATCTGTAGTGTTGAGCTTTCACAAAACAAAGTGACATTTACACCCAAATAAAAGTCATTTTCTAAATGAGAATCTGTTGAATATTAACTTCAAAAGTATATATAAATTTAGTATTTTGTTTGAACATGAAAACTTTGTACTGTTTATTATGTTTCCTGTACTGATACCAAGGTTTGTAGTAATTGTTTTGATATTTATAATTTTTCTGATAATGGTAGGAAGGAATTTTTTACTGAAAAATTCATTTAGATAAAGATTATTAGCTGCAGAAGGCTATTGAGTACTGTGGAAATAAGTGTGTTTAAATACAGTTTATTTTGATAATAATGATTTATGTATTAGGAAAAAGGAGATGAAATTGAGGAAAAGTGTGCTTCTGGAAAGAGTGGTACCCCTGTGGAAGCTAAAGATAATATTAGTAAAGCAACAGACATTTCTCAGTCCCGAATTCTCAGTCAAGAAGATTTCCGAAAGCTCCATATAGCGCAGTTAGCAAAACATATAACACCAACAAAGGGCAAAAAATCTTCAGAAAAAAGAAAATCCACTGCAGTTGATGAACATGACAGTGGAATTGTTAGTTCTAGGTAAGTTAACTTACAAAAGATTGTTGATTGTTATTGAAATGTTTTGTTTATTTACATGTAGTTTGATACTAAAGATCACTGAGATTTTTGTCTCAAAATATGTTCAGTTTATTTCATTGTTTCAGAAGTTTGAATATAGTTATATATTTTATATCCATTACCATTAAATGATAAATATAAATTTTTAGTAGAAATATTTCTGGCTGTATGTAAATGAGATTTCATTATTTTGTTTCTTTAACTTATTTTACTCAGCAAATTTAGAATATAAAGTTTTTATGAAGTGTTCTCTTCAACTGTGAATATTTTTATATGCATACATCTCACCTTATCTATGGTTATTTTAGTTTTGACTAACTTTATAACTTTTGGGTTTCTATATGAAACATTAAAAATATTTGTGTTAATTTAGATCTGAATGCTTAATGTTTGTTTCTGTAAAAATTTGGTTTTTGTCAGAAAAGAACTTGTGTCACTTGGTGATATTGAGCGTATTCACAAAAGACCAAGACATGATAGAGAATCAAGACTTGCGACTGTCATGGTACGTACGCACAATGCCATAGTTTGTTTTTCACAAGTTAAACATATTTTGTAAACTGTATATTTATTGCATAGCATTTTTCATTTGTAAATTTATTTATTCCATAGTAGCAAACTTCTTACAGAAATATAGAATATGTTTTTTTTTATGATTGTTATTATTTGAGAGTGTTGCTGTCATTCACAATGGATATCATTTGCTATTGCTTTTTTTTATTGTTACAAATCTAATCTACAGAGGGGTGCTTACAATTTATGATAACAGTATAAGAATGAATGCTGAAGGATTACATCCCCTTCTTCCATCACTGATGACATTCTGTGTGGTAATCATAATTATGAACTATTCTTTGCAGTGCATCTTCCATTGTAAGAGGCTTTTGCAAAATACTTTGAGGTTAATATTTTCTCTGTCATCCTTACATGCTTTCCAAAGTCCATCATTCGTGTGCAGAGAACTGTCAAGGACCTGTTTAAGCAGCCTAAGGGTACAGGAGTCCATGATGTCTGCAAATAATAAACATGCACTTCCATTTCTGTTGACATCTTGTAGAGGAAAGATATGCTGACACAGATGTGTGGCCAGATGTTTTATCTTGATAGAGTCATAACTTGTTTACATCCAATCTGTATAAAAATGGCATTTTCCTGCAACAAGTGGTACCAGCATGTTAATCTGCTAACATACAAACTTCAACTTGACATTTTTTCAGCCCTCCAGATTTTTCTCTCTATACAGGGTTCATAGAGGTCATTGAAAACCTGGAAGTTTAACTTAGTAATTTCAAGGAATTGAAAATCTTTGAAAACCCCAATTTTCTGAGGAAAGTGCTTGAAAGGCTATGAATTTATTTGTGTTTTGGACAGTATATATCTTTTAAAATATCTAATTAATTTGATTTAAAGATCTCCCATGAAAATGATTCATGCCATCTTCATTAAAAAATATATAAAAAATTAAGTTTTATTTACATAAATATGTATTTCTGTAAATCTTTTTTATTGTGTGTGTGTGTGTATGCAACTGCTGTAAACTTGGGTCCTTGAAAATTTTCAAGGTTTATGAAAGTTCTTGAGTATTGTGTCTTAAGTTTTTTACCAACCCTGTTTATAACTGTAATCTGACCCCCCACCATAATAATGTTAAGTCTCATAGAAAACTTTTGTAGCAATCTCTTTACGATTTTGGAATGTATTACAGGTAGTGAGATATAAATTGTCTTAGTTTTGCATATTTTAAAGTAGACATATGCTTCATTTAATGGGATGACATAATCCAGTTTGCTACATATGCCAGATACTGCTCATACAATCTCCAGAAGTTAATCTTTTGTTTGGCTACATACTTAGGGAAGAGTATGTGAATACAGAGCTTGTGTTGTAATTTTAAGATTTAAATATATGCAAGTTCTTTTTTTTTCTTCTTTTTCAAATAGCTGATTAGCTAACTTTTATCACTTTCTCCAATGTACAACTGTTAGCTGGTTTTGGACTGTCCCGTTTTTTTCCCCACTGGAATCATTCCTTCTATTGCTTTACTAAAACAGTTCAACTCTAAAGATATCCTTTTCTTTGAAAAGCCAAAAATTCTTGACTTCCATACTTTTATAATCACAGAATAAAAGAAAATAGCATACAAGAGTTATATAATGTAACCTACCCAGAAGAAGTAAATTTAAACACCATCTGCATTTGTAAAATACCACATTTTAATTGAATTACAATAAGAGGGTATGTTTTTTAATCTATGCAATTACAAGTTAAGAAGATAGCCAAGGACTAGTTGATTGGATATGCAAATTGTTATCATTAGTTGTGAAAAACATTTTGTTTTTTATAGTGTTACTATTTTATAAGATAAACATATGCACATTAAAATATTGAGTTAATTTTTGAAAATTCTCAGATATATATATATATATATGTTTAAACAGTAAAAGTACTGTTTATCTGATATTTAATATTAATTTATTTATATGATGTTATATTTTAATTATATTTTTATGTTCAGTAAAAACAAATGTTTTAGCTTGTTAGTCGTAAAACAGAAGTATACCTTTTAACATCTAATAGAATGTATAAAAAGAAGTAAAATTATTGTTTTCATTTATTCTTTTCAACCCCATATATATATATATATTGTTTATTTCACTTGCAAGTACTTCAACAAATATTTAGCAAATACTTTGAAGGCATAAACTTTTTTGCTTGTTAGAGTGGCAGGGAAGGACGAGAAAAGTTTGGTAGAAAGAACACTAAAAATCCTCTTGCTGGAAAGACCCAGAAAGAACACAACAGAAATAAAGCCTTCATGATGGTTAAGTATAAAGTAAAAGGCAAAAGTAAACGTTCCTTCAGAGAGAAACAGGTACTAAGATTTTATTAATCATATTTGTTTTAGAAGTTCTCTTTTTTACTTTGCTGATAAAATATTTCCTTCTTCAGTAGAATTCTCCTTTTAGTTTTGTATATGTGACGTTTAGTTTTCTGTTATATTTGCAAATGAAGTCCTAAAAAAATTAATAGCCTAGTGTAATTTGTGCAAAATGTGTAGTTTTCAAAAAATATTAAGTATATTTGGGTAAAGTTCTTTATCTGTGGCCAAACTTATTTTGCTGGAAACAATTATCCTTAGATGGTTAGACCTGGTTCAGAGTTTATAATTCATGGCTAATTATTATGTTTCATATTACAAGAAATGTATTGTTTCAGAACTTTATATTTGGGTTAAATGTCAAATTACTCGAGGGATGATGAAGCATAAAAAATTTAATGAAATGACTTTCACATTGTATAAAATAACTCAAGAGCTGAAAATATGTTATTTATAAACTGGTTTGAAGTGTTTTAATTTTCCTTCTATTCCCCTTTTTTATAGATAGCTCTACGAAACTCGCTTTTGAAGCAACGGAAAATGAAATAAAAAAGATGTATGTACATAAGTACTGTAGAGAAAGATATTAAAAATTGAATGATTTCACTTTCCAGTATTGTTGGACAGTCTCAATTAATTGAAGTAGTATATGGTTATATATTTTGAGTATTCAAATGTAGTGTTGTATAGTTACCAAAATCATAAAATATAGTAAAACAGTTAATTTTTCTATATAGTAGGTATAATACAGCTTCTATTAATGCCAGAAAACATTTATGCAAAAAAGAAAACTAGTTTTTTATAAATTTTACACACAAGAAAAAAAGTATATCTGTTCTGTGAATTATAGTAATAATAAATATCTCAAGATTTTAAATATTGCCTTAGATGGAGATTCACAACTTATCTATTACAGAAACAAGCAGAAATGTTGCCCTATGGGCAGCTGTTATGCTAGTAATTTCCAATCATAGTATTCATAACTCATTCATAAATATTGTAAAAAGTGAACATTTTCTTAAAAAATTATTTTTTTCTGGGAAGTACTGCATGGGAAAAAGAGTTCAGATTGTGCTCTTTAGTCATATGCAACTCATTGCATCAAAATGATTCAATGTACAGAGCTCAAAAATGTTAATAAATTTTACTGATACAATAAACTGTAGTGTTTTTATATATTAAAAGTGGTATCGTGTAGTGAAAAAATAATAGTTTCTCAGTACTACATTTAAAAATTACATAAATAAAGATATAATTAAACCCTCATGTACAGTCCTAGTGAAAGTAGTGTTCTTGTGAAGAGGGTACTTTTATTTAAAATTATGTTCTGTTATAAAGAAATGATTATTATTTATACATACATATACATACCACAGTTATTTTTCTAATTGTCTGAATCTTGTACACACAAATTATGAAATTTGTTATGGAATTTTGTTTGTGGTGCCATTTAATAGATGGTGCAGAAGTTTTGGTTACATATATAGATAGTGACATACTTGCTACATCCATTATAGTAAGATGTAATACTGGGCATAAACAGATGGTACAATTAACAAGCTTTTATTTCATCCGGTGCTTGTAAAACTGTAACTTGTATAAGGTGCAAACAATGACTGAAAACCAGTTACAGCCAATAAAATCATATCTAAACATTTAATAGTATAAAGTTGAACAACATTTATTTTAATTCTATAAATAAAAGATTCATTAACAACAAATCTCCAAGTCAAGCAGACCAAGTACAGTATTCCACTTTAGAGAGGTATACGTCCAGTATGTCTAGACTTGTTTGCAAATTTTATGAAATACATATGATAATATGAGGAATCCAAAGGTATTCATCAACATAAAAACTGAAAAGAACTGGAGGAGATGCAAAGATTTTCTTTTTGGTTGATGGAGAACTAAACTTTTCCATAGGTAATGGTGTTATTGTAATATGATATCTGTAAAGATTCTTGCAAAGCTGTTAGTTATTGAGAACTGTAAGAACAAGTAGAAGGTTTTTTTGTCAAGATTGCACATATCTCAGAGTACCGATTTTAAAAGCATCAGGTTCAAGGCTTATTTGGAAGTGTAAGGTAGCAAAATGCTTGACATGCTATCAGTGTAGCAGATGTGGATGCAATTAGGACAGGATACCAGTTATAGAGAAAGCAAGCCATAAAAGAAGCCAGAGAAGAATTTCTGTTGATGCTAATAAAAATGTCAAATTGTTAAAAAGAAGCATGTCTATCTAAAGATTGGGTTTATTGGGACCACTATATCTGTAGAAAAAGCCATAGGAAAAGATGTTGTAGATCAAGGCCTAAGATCCCTATATTTTATTCCAACTTTCTCGATCTTGTGTGGATCATATTATGTTAACAGAAAATACACAATTGGTCGGGCTGATCCAGATATTTATCTATATATATAAAAGAGGAAGTTTGTTTATTTTGTTCGCTATAGGAAACCAAATGG